TTGACATCACCCCAATACCTGAACTTTAAATCTGATCTCATCCACCTTTCAATGCTATTATCATTTCCAAAGAGATAATTAACATTTCTCTCCAAGTGCAACAGTTTCCTTTAAGGATTTGTCAACACAAGCATTTAAAGTTTTTGTTAAGGGAAAGAAATAATTACTAATACTTTTTTTTGGTAGCAGAGAAACCTTTTCTTTTTTTACACCAGCAGTGGCAATAGTTCCACACTTGTGTCACCAAAGGGAAAAAGAAAAATCTTCTTAGGTACCAGGTGTTGCTCTCTCCTTGGACATTAAACCTAGACTGTGTAGAAAAGGATAGATGGTGAGCTGAGTCAGATATACAAATCTATTTTCATGGAGAAAATAAACAAAATGCCACTCACCCTGCCTGCCTGTAACTTGAGTGGCTGTAAGAATTAGAATATATAAAAGGGTTCCAGCTGTAAACGTATAAGGTATTTATCATTTATTCATCAATAATGCAAAAAACCCTGTATCTTTATTAAGGCTGGCAGAAGTATAGACAGCAGCAAAACAGATTTTATCCTCATGAAGTTTATATTACAGTAGGAAGAAAGACAAAAATTAGGTGTAATTGATAGGGAGAAAAACAGTAACAGGGATTAAGGTAAAAGGGAAAAGCTTCTCTGTTAAGGTGAAAGCTGAAGGAAGTAAATGGGAAAACAAAAATCTTGGGGAAGAGAATTCAAGTATAAGAAAATCTCAGTCTTATGTTCTGCTATGTTTAAATAAGTGATGTGCAATAAAACCACTGGTATTTATGAACTGCTGCTATAATTCAGTATCCAGATTTGCCTCCAAAGAAAAGATTACCTATTTTATGGATAATAATGTTTATACTGTATCTAAGAACCCATGCAGATATATTAAAGACTACCTAGCAAAAGGCTTGGGCTTCTCTGGTGGCTCAGCGGTAAAGAATCTGCCTGCAATACAGGAGACCGGGGTTTGATCCCTGGGTGGGGAAGATCCCTTGGAGGAGGGCATGGCAACCTGCTCCAATACTCCTGCGTAGAGAATCCCATGAACAGAGGAGTCTGCAGGCTGCAGTCCATAGGGTTGCACAGAGTCAGACATGGCTGAGCGGCTCAGCAGCAGCAGCAAAAGGCTCTGGCATCACTGTTATAAATAAAATCTAAGGAAATCTGCCAATAGTTGACTGCCAAGCAGAATTCTTATAATGTGCTGCAGTAGACTCAGTGTATACCAGGAGACCTGATATTGGTAACTTTCATAGTCTATCTTTGTGCAGTGTTGAGTGCTTTTCTCTGAATCACTTTTCTCCAAATATTATGATGAACCCTCTCAGAGAAGGGAAAAATACAACACAGAGCAATGCATATAATCATAAAAACTGTGATATACAGCCTTATTATTAATATATTATATATACAATAAAACAGACACTAAAGGTAATTGGCCTTAAGCTAATTTAAAACAAACTACAGTTAACATTTCTTGACAAAGTATTACTGATGTATGTATTTAATCAGAGCCTAACACAGCTTGGCTTGCTAATTATATTTAAGTACACAAATCACATCATTTTATTTTTTTCTCTTTTGCCATGAGGCATGTGGGATCTTAGTTCCCTGACCAGGGACTGAACCCACACCCCTTGCAGGGAAAGCTCAAAACTGACCACTTGACAACCAGGGAATTCCTAGAAATCACATTATTTTAAAGCCAGAAGGAATATATAGATTATCAACAATCTTGCAGTATATACTAGATGATCAAGATTTAGGAAACGAGTCATGAGTCAAAAGCTGCAAAAGTAAAAATTTCTCTTGTGCGTGCAGTTGCTTCAGTCATGTCCGACTCTTGGCGACCCTACGGACTGTAGCTTGCCAGCCTCCTCTGTCCATGGGGTTCTCCAGACAAGAATACTAGAGTGGGTTGCTTTTCCTTTCTCCAGGGGATCTTCCCCACCCAGGGATCAAACCTGCATCTCCTGCGGCTCCTGCATTGCAGGCAGATTTTTTACCCATGAGCCAGTGGGGAAGCCCCAGAACTTCTCTTACTTTCCCTCAAAGTCTAAGGATATTTCATCCATCAATGCCTTGAAACTCTCATTCCAGTGATCTAAACGGTATGATAGTGAGGACTGTAATGTGAACAGAGAAAAGAACGTATGTCTTTAGAAGTCCCTTTCATTTGCTAGACATTCTGTGTCACCAACAGTAGGCCTAACGGTCCCAGTAAGCCTAAAGGTAGGATCCCTACGGTTACAGAATGTGCGCTACCTCACTGCTTCCCTCTTGATCTTTCTTACTTCTATTTCCTTTACAACAAGTTAAAAACAGCTATTCTAGTTTCATAGATTATTGACACCGACACTATTATTTTTGACACTGATGTTGTTTAGTTGCCAAGTGGTGTCCAACGGACCCCATGAACTGTAGCCTGCCAGGCTCCTCTGTCCACAGGACTTCCCCCGGCAAGGAATACTGGATGTCTGTCTATCATAGGGTCAGTTCTCTGACACGCAAACTCCTTCTTCACAATTAAAAAAAGAAAAAAACAAAACTACTATCACTATCTTTATAAGCTGACAAAATAGGGTTTTTCTGGTGATGAAAATCTAAGCTTTTGGAATTAACTATGCACAACTTCACATACTATCACCTACAAAGAACCAGCATAATGATACCTATTCAATAACCTGTGCAAAGTATTTTATTAGCCCACCCCCACAAAAAGAACCCAAAGCATATTCCCAATGTAAGCAATCACATATTCCATTCTAAAAATTAGTCAAGGAAGAGCCATAGACAAAAGACAGATAACCTAACCGGAGACATCTAAACACTCAATTATACACCTGCTGCTGGTCATCGGATGTAGAATGGTCCACTATAAAGTACTGACTAAATCACAAAGATTACTCTTCCTATCAAGTCTGCATCCTGCCCTTGGGATCAATACTTGCTCCCATTCCCTCAATGAAGGCTCATTGTAAATGGGCCCAAGAAAAGAATAGCTGTTGATAAAACTGCTACTTGAGTGTACCCTCTGGTTCTGCAGTTCAAGCCTGGTGGCAAGAAGTTTCAAGCAGCTCACTTCATCAGAGCCTATCACTGTCAACAGAAACTAACAGCTGCAGGCAGAGTCTTAGCACCAGTTACCCTAACCTTTTAAAACCTTTCTTCTCTACCCCAAGCCCTGCTAACACATCTCTAAACCTTAGAAACAATATCATTTAAAAAATTAAGCTACACACATGGTTATTTACTTTTCAGTTTGGTCATGGAACCCAAGTCAAGGCCAGTGACCCAAAATATGCACGAACTCTTAGAAAATTAACTCTAAGAAACTTCAGCAATTTACATTAAAATTAAAATCTACTCCCATCTCCACCCCTCCATGATGGCATAATTTCAAATCAATTTGTATCACATATTCATGCAGTCTTCTCAAAGAATACTTTAAAAACATGGCTACTGATATTTAATACTTAGATTTTTTCTGTAAGATTTTAGATTTTTCCACAAATGACACAGGTGGTTATTTTATATAAACAGGCATGAAAATTATTCATGCTTGCTAACTGAAGAAACATGATATGGCCATTTTAAAATTAAAGTCTAGATTTATTTTGACCTAGTCCTCTTAAGATCTTTCCATCAGTCTAAGATTTTACGGTTTATGATACACTGAATGTAAGAAACAGCTTCCAAAATTTTTATTACTTCACACAAATCAGATGGGACTTTCAGGTCCCTGAACCTAGCTTTTTGTTAAATTTTAGAATTTCTTCTCTGGAGAGTAACCTAACTAAACTATTTACCAAGTTAACGTCTTCGTGCAAACTATAAAAAAGCTAACCACTTCTTTTCGTGTAATTTAGACTAGCACAGGAAACGGGATTCAAAAAGACTTACTGCTCAAATTGCAAATGAGGTCAGAACCTCTAAAACGAAATTATTTGATTTTTATGATTTACTGTTCCATGAGCTCAAGCTTATCTGATTACTTAAGACTTTCTGTCCTACTCCTCGAAGTTTTCCAACACCAGGACTCCCACCACCTAGAAACAGTTTTCGCAAGCCAGATGCCAAAGCTATCGGTACTACACCTCCAAGGCAGGGTGTATTTCCTGATCGAACAAAGAGCAACAAAGGAGTGGGTGGTAACCGCCTCTCAGAGAGGCAAGCCATCGAGGCTGATCTACAACACTAGCAGCAACAGCGACAGCATGTTGCCCCACCACCGTCGCCTTTCCCGTGAAGGCGGACTACCTCAAACTCGAAAACCCTCATTTTTATTGAGGAAGTGAAGCCCTTTCATTTGAATGCTGAGAAAGTGGCGCTCAGAGAACCCGGCAAACAAAGGAGACGGAAGAAGCCCACGCAAAACAGGGGTGCGAACAAGCCTCGAGGCGGACGTGGACCCCCCCCAGGGGCTACTCTGCGGCACCCAACCCGGTCGAGGGGTCCGGGGTGAGGCCGGCGGCAGAGAAAAGGAGACGCTCGGGCCAGCCGGGGACACAGAGGAGGGGAGAGGCGGGGAGGGGAGGGATGGGGGCTGGAGGGGCGGAGCTCTCGGGGCCGTGGGGCTTTGTGTGCAGTCTGGGCCGGGGTAGCTGTTTAGGCCCGCGGGGAGAAATCGGGTGCAGGCGGCCGGAGCAGGGGACCCCCAAAACCTCCCTCCCACGAGCGGCGGGACAGGCGCGAGGGAGGGCCGTCCCCTTCGCACCAGCACCAAGTCAGGGTAGGCCGGCGGCGGACCGCACTGCCGGAGCGAGAGAGGCCGGAGGGAAAAGTGGGGCGTCCGCTTACCTCCCCGCGGAGGCTGCCGGACGGCGTCGGGTCGGGAATGGGTTAAGATGCTGCCAAACGTTGGTCCCTCCTCCTGACCCCTCAGCACCCGGCGCGACCACTCGCAACGGCGGCCGCAGAGCCGATGCGGCTCCGGGCCCGGCGCCACAGCCCTGGGCCGCCCACCCTCTCACCCGCCCGGCGTCTCACCATCATAGTAGTAGCAGACTTTCTTCTTGCCGCCTCCTTGACTGTACGCCATGGGCTCCCGGGCCACCGCCGCCTCCGGCTCCTCCTCTTGCTGCTGCTGCTGCGGCTCCGGCGGGGAGAGAAGAGGGCTGGGGCGAAGGTGGAGGGTGGCAGTCCTGTGGGGAAGGGCAGGCCGGAGGGAGGAGAGGAGGGGGGTGCCGGGAGGGCTGGGTACCGCCCGGCCGAAGGGCCGAGAGCGCGGACCTGGGGGCGGCAGCGGCGCCAACTCGCGACACTGGGGAGGGGGAGGGGGCCGCCAAACCACCTCCGGAGGCCGAGGGGAGGTGGGGCGCGTCCACTGCGACTCCACGGGGGAGGAGGGAGCAAGAGACTTATTCAATTTGGGAAAAGAGGCTTTCTTTTGGTGAGCAACTTGCACAGGAAGGCTACCCAACACAGTCGTAAAAGGATTTTTTTTTTTTTACAAAAGAGCAGGCTTTCGCTTTACGAAGCGATTAGGTAGGTAAAGGGAGCGTGGAGCCGGTGCACGCTCCCCCCTTATGATCTTCGCACAGTGGTTGCGCCTATCCTGAGCCTGCGCAGTCGGCGCCTCCCCAACCGTCGCCCGGGCCGCCTGGACCCCCTCCGCGAAGTCCCACGCCGCTCCCCTCCCCCTCTGTCGCGAAGCTCTCGCCGGGCCGGACCACGTGCTCCTAGCCGGGCGCAGAGAGACCACTATCCCACCCCTTCGACCTTCTCGAACCCGCCCAGCTGCAACCCACGATCCCTGTACTGGGTCGTCGTGCATTTTATTTATTTTTTTCATTTTCTGCTGATAATCGCTCGGAGGAGGTCCCCCCTGTTAAGGGGACCTATTGCAGACTTTAAAGAGCAAAGAGGACTGCCTGACTTTAAATAGGCAGTTATGGCATGCATTTATATGTTAGGGTTCTAAGTATTTGCGTTTATGATGTATTTCATTGGTGTCAATAATAGATATGTGTTAACTCGATTGAGACTCCCAACAACTGGGAGTAAGCTGGGGTGTAAGTATTGTTTCTAGTTCTTCTTTATAAATGGAGAGATAAACGCACTTGGTTCTCTCCAAGGTTGATGGTCTGGGGTTTGATTTCAGCCTTTCTCCAAAGTCCACACATCCTACCTACTCCCTTATGACTGCTTCTGCTGGCTGGGCACTGGAAGATTGCAGCATAAAGTTCAGAGAAAGGACTTTCAGAACTTTGGGAAGTTATAAATACCTTTGCCCCTGTATTCAACAAGTCATCAAACATGGAGCCTTTACCTTCTCTAAGCCACCCACCTTGTAGGTGACTGGCGTGGTGGTGGGGGATGCTGACAGTTCATAGGTAAAATTCTTATTCCCAAAACTCATATTCCCTATAAACCATTAACCGTTTATGGGTGCAGACTCTGTCACTCAGCCCTGTCTGACTCTTTCCAATCCCGTGGACTGTGCTCCCTGCCGCGCCCCCGCCCAGGCTCCTCTGTCCATGGGATTTTCTGGGCAAGAAGATTGGAGCAGGTTGCCATTTCCTCTTCAAGGAGAATCTTCCTGATCCAGGGTTGGAACTCTGGTCTCCTACATTAGCAGGCGAATTCTTTACCATCAAGCCATCTGGGAAGCCCATTTACCATTTGTAGGTTTCCCCAAATACACATTCTCGCCCATCGCTATCAAAAACAAACAAAAAAAATCCTTATTGAAGCAGGAATCATTGGTAGCCAGTACCAAAATTATCCTTTTTATTTTGCTATTAAATATTTGACTTCAAAATATCCAGGTAGTTCATACTTAAAGCAGCAATTTTCCTGGACCTCACCCCCAAGAAATTTAGAAAAAATAAATCCAAGGTAGCCTCAATCCTCCTCTACCTAAGTCCATGTTTTTAGCAAGCACCCAGGTAAGGGAAACAGTTGGTACAAGAATCAGAGTTAGAAACTTTGACTTTAGAGGTTAAAAATTACACGATACTATTTTACAGCTTTTACGCTATCAAGCCCCAAATCAATTTGGTATATTCTGAAAACAAAATAAGTTAATTTAGTAGAAACTAATATTTAACTTATATGCAGAGTACATCATGAGAAACGCTGGGCTGGAAGAAGCACAAGCTGGACTCAAGATTGCCAGGAGAAATATCAGTAACCTCAAGTATGCAGATGACACCACCCTTATGGCAGAAAGTGAAGAGGAACTAAAAAGCCTCTTGATAAAAGTGAAAAAGGAGAGTGAAAAAGTTGGTTTAAAGCTCAACATTCAGAAAACTAAGATCATGGCATCTGGTCCCATCACTTCATGGGAAATAGATGGGGAAACGGTGGAAACAGTGGCTGACTCTATTTTTTTGGGCTCCAAAATCACTGCAGATGGTGATTGCAGCCTTGAAATTAAAAGACGCTTACTCTTTGGAAGGAAAGTTATGACCAACCTAGATAGCATATTAAAAAGCAAAGACATTAGTTTGCCAACAAAGGTCCATCTAGTCAAGGCTATGGTTTTTCCAGTGGTCATGTATGGATGTGATAGTTGGACTATGAAGAAAGCTGAGTGCTGAAGAATTGATGCTTTTGCACTGTAGTGTTGGAGAAGACTCTTGAGAGTCCCTTAGACTGCAAGGAGATCCAACCAGTCCACCCTAAGGGAGATCAGTCCTGGATGTTCATTGGAAGGACTGATGATGAAGCTGAAACTCCAGTACTTTGGCCACCTCATGCGAATTTTTCACCTTATGAAGAGATGACTCATCGGAAAAGACCCTGATGCTGGGAGGGATTGGGGGCAGGAGGAGAAGGGGACGACAGAGGATGAGATGGCTGGCTGGCATTGCCGACTTGATGGACATGAGTTTGAGTAATCTCCGGGGGTTGGTGATGGACAGGAAGGCCTGGCGTGCTGCGATTCATGGGGTCGCAAAGAGTCGGACACGACTGAGCGGCTGAACTGCACTGAACTGAGCATTCTCAGAGCCAGGAGAGTGGAAACTGAAATGAGACTTTGTTTACTCTGGAAGGCTTCCTTGACTTGACTTCTTCCCGAACTTCCAGGCTGTTTTTTCTGCCCCTCACTTGGTGGTTGTGACTTGTACCCTTTTAGCTCAACACTCACCATATTGCAGTTGTCTACAACGTCTCTGAACTTCTCATTAGAACAGTGTCATGAGAGGAGAGACTATGTTTGTCTTGCGGGTAAGTATATCTGTATGCATAAGTCATTCGATTGTCTGAATTGCCTCGTCTGTAAAATGGGGCAGTATTACTTGGAGGGTAATTACTCATATGAATATAGAGCACATTAAATAAGAAAATTAATACAGAATAGATTTTTTAAAAAATATTTGTTTATTTGACTGCCTTGGGTCTTAGTTGTAACACACAGACTCAGTAGTCATGGTGCTTGGGCTCAGTAGTCATGGTGCTCGGGCTCAGTAGTCATGGTGTTTGGGCTTAGTTGCTCCATGGCATGTGGGATCTTAATTTCCCGACCAGAGAGTGAACCTGTGTCCCCTGCACTTGCCCTGCACACAAGGCAGATTCTTACTGGACCACTAGGTAAGTCCCCAGAATAGTTTTTAAACAATGAAGAACTATGCGAATACAAGGGAGTATTAAGATTATTGTCATAATACTAGTAATAATTATTATTGTTGGCATCCATGGAACCTACCTTTGAACATGTGAAAAGAGCCTGGACATATATTTACATATTTTGATTGGCCTAGGAACTTGTTATATTAGCTATTTTTTAATAATTTTATTTATTTTTAATTTTTAATTGATGTATAGTTGATTTACAATGTGTTAGTTTCTGGTGTACAGCAAAGTGTATATACATATATATGTATATACTTTTAAAGCTTATATATATATATACTTTTTTATTTTCCTTTTCATTCAGGCTGTTTAAGATATTAAATATAGTTCCCTGTGCTATGCAGTAGGACTTGGCTGTTTATCTATTTTATATATAGTAATTTGTATCTGCTAATTCCAAACTCCTAATTTATCCTTGTCCCATCTTCTTTCCCCTTTAGTAACCGTAAGTTTGTATTCTATGTCTGTGAATCTGTTTCTGTTTTTTAAATAAGTTCACTGGTATCATATTTTAGATTCTACATATAAGTGATATATATAGTATTTGTCCTCTTTCAGTTTATTTCACTTAGTATGATCATCTCTACATTCATCCATGTTGCTGCAAGTAGCATTATTTCACTTTCTTATGTCTCAGAAATACTCCTTTGTGTGGTGTGTGTGTGTGTGTGTGTGTGTGTGTGTGTGTGTGTATGTAGCACATCTCTTTATCCATTCATCTGTTGATGGGCATTTAGGTTGCTTCCATGTCTTGGCTACTGTAAATATTGCTGCAGTGAATATTGGGGTACATGTATCTTTTCAAATTATGGTATTTCCAGATACATGCCCAGGAGTGGGCTTGCTGGATCATATGGCAAGTCTATTTTTAGTTTTTTTAAGGAATTCATACTGTTTTCCACAGTGGCTGCACCAATTTACATTCCCACCAACAGTGTGGGAGAATTCTGTTTTCTCTACACTCTCTCCAGCATTTGTTATTTGTAGACTTTTTAATGATGGCCGTTCTGACCAGTGTGAGGTGATATCTTATTTTAGTTTTCATTTGCAGTTCTCTAGTAGTTAACAATGTTGAGCATCTTTCCATGTGCCTATTGGCCATCTGTATGTCTTCAGAGAAATGTTTATTTAGGTCTTCTGCCTATTGTTTGATTGGATTGTTTGTTTTTTTGGTTATTGAGTTGTATGAGCTGTTTGTATACCTTGGAAATTAAGCCCTTGTTGGTTGCAGCCTTTGCAAATATTTTCTCCCAGTCTGTGTGTTGTCTTTTCATTTCATTTCCTTTGCTGTGCAAAAGCATATAAGTTTAATTAGGTCCTATTTGTTTATTTTTGCTTTTATTTCTATTACCTTGGGAGACTGACCTAAGAAAATATTGCTACAGTTCATATCAGAGAATATTTTGCCTGTGTACTCTTCTAAGAGTTTTATAGTGTTATGTCTTATATTTAAATCTTTAA